TATGGTTTAAATTGATTCTGAAAGGAAAACTTTTACATTTACACACTAGTTACAATGCGTAGAAGTACAATCTAAATTGAATTTTAAATATGCGGTAATTTTATGTGGCAAATATTTCTAATGATTTGTTTTGATGTAATTTTATTATTTGCTATTATTTAATTAGTTTTTGGAATTATGAAATAGCCTAAAGGCGTGCTCTGCGCTTAAATTTGAATATTCGAATATATGCGTATCCCAAAAATTATGATAATTAATTTATCACGTCAGATGTATCCAAAATATTAGCAGCGGATACAATAGACATTTCTTTGCAAATCTTGCATCGTGTGAACGGAACCACATACATATGCAGATATGTGTGTAGAGATGACAACGCACACCCACACACACGAGCGCGCATTCTTGCTTATATGAGGCCCCAGTAAAAGTATTCGTGGAATTCCAAATAGCAGCACATTGCAAGCGCCTCGTTTTTTATGTTAAAGGGTTAAATAGAAAATAAAAAACACAGGATTTTTCCTGTTTTTTATGACATCATAAAATGGTTTCAGGTGCTGTCAACGCCGAAGAACCCTTTACCTCTCCCGTTACCCCACCAGGTAGATTAAATGGAACTGCATTAAACTGTGGCTGTACTATTGCCTCAGATTTGGTTTCACATCATCGCTTGTCGCTACTGGCCCACAGGGGGCGCTACTCTTCTGAGCGCTTTTGGGATTGCGACTTAACAATTCGCATTGCGCGATGCGACTTTTAACATGGCTTTAAAACGTATGTTAAGGGTGTATATAAGGGTCGATTCCCTCAGACAGACTTTGGAAAAATGAAACGGAGCCTTAGGGTTAAACTTTACAAAACGGAAAATCTAAATTAAATTCTGCTATATGTCAGAAATACAAATTTATAAAACTAAAAAGTATGGTATATAGGAAAGTCATAATTAAGCTTAAAGTCATTCAAGGAGTTTTTTCAACAAGCCTTAGCGTTTTAATATAAAGACATTTTTTCATTTTATTAATTCACAAAAAATGGCTCATAAATTTGGGTGTTTCCACTTATTATTAGTAAACAATAAAGCGTTCAGTTTGTAAGACTTTTCTACTTAATTACTGTGTGTTAGCATTTTATGACTGAACGGACAGTTTCTAATATGTAACAAAAGCGGGGACAAATTGTTATTGAATACTCAGGAGTAGTTTACTTAATAAGTATATTACATTGACAATAATATTATAGTTATATTCATATAAATCCATCAATGCCAATTTATTTTGAACAGTAAAATAGGTATTTCAGACTCAAACTAGATCTAACATTTGAAACTATCAATGCAAGCTCTTTAAACAGCATTAGACCTTTAAAATCGATTCTAAACCACTGTCTATCGCTTAATGTAAAACAATTGTATGTTTTACTTTGAGCTAAAACAATAAAAAGGGATTATATAAGTACAGGGGCAGCTCAAAATAAGATCGCACAGAAACTGGAATATTCTGAAAATTGAATCGATTTTCTAGTAAGAATTCAACTGCTTTGCAAGCATTTTTATTTTTTATTTCCGTGCTACCTAATAGACTTTGTATAATATATGAGCACTATTTTACTTAACTTACTTTATTAGTATGATAAATTTTTTAAGACTCTGATAAATAGAATGACAGTTCTGTGGCACCAATTCATATCTGCTATCGTAAATAAAGAATATAAAAACGTTTATATAGCTGTGCATAGCATAGAAGAAAAGCTGTCAACCAAAAATATTCAAATGAGAGTCATGCTTAAATAGAAGGAAGCGCTTTCTGCATTTAAGGAAAAATCCTTAATGTACGCATTTGAACAACCGATTGATTTCTTTGCTAGCATTTATAGCTAAAAGTAGGCCGTACTCATTGCCGGGTTTATAAATTTGCTTTATTAAATATCCGTTCAGAAATTAATACCAAATCGCTATAAAATGTTATAAAAAATGTAGTCCAACATGAGTTATGCGTTACTATTACCTGCTTTGTTGTCACAGTCACACTCAGGAGTGCAGAGTGAGAAGAACACTTAATTTGACCTTTGAAATTCCTCAACTCCAACACTTTCATTTTTCAACTTTCCTGGCAGACCTGGCTGCCTAGCTGCCTGCCATAAATTGAAACTTGAAAGTTTCGCTTTAACTTTGTGTTCATTTGTTGATCGTTTGGCTTGGTCGCCACAGTCGCATTCAGTGTATATTGTGTTTGTGTGTGTGTGTGTGTATGCGTGTGTAAGTGCGTGCTGGTTTAACTTTAATTGAAAAACTTTTGCAACGTGCAGTTGAATTCATTTGGGCATTTCATGCCATACTATTCTTGTATGCCTGCTTTATACTCCTCTCCAGCGAATACGTTTTTTTCGTTCTGGACAGTCGTGCAATGAAATCAATTTTAAATTGAATACACATTTTAACAATTGTGTGGAACATGAGTATCGCATCATTTTGTATGTATAATGAATGCACTTGTACATGTACACGTATGTACATATATACATATGCGTAGGTCGTTAGCGTCGCTTGTTATTTTGTCAGACAGCAACATCATTATTATAATAATTAATGCAGTGTCCTACAATGCGCACTAATTAAATGTGTTCTCGTTGTTGGTCCCTTGGTGGCGTCGTTGTTGTTGTTTTTGCTATTCAACGCTTAAATGTTTTACGGCAAGCTTTTGCATAATAAATGTCAAATAAATGGTCAGCGGTTGTTTACCAGCGGCAAGTCCACCCAAAAGACCGCAACACTTTCGCGAAATTTTCCAACTTTTCCGCACAGCCACATACAAACATATAGAAGCACAAAAACAACTTAATGCACATTAATTTGAACGTTGGTTCTGTTTTTATTATTTGTCGGGCACATAAATGAAATTAAAAACCATTTAAAGTTAAACGAAAACTTTGTCCAAATTTGCCCTCAAGCCCTAACAATTCGGCAACGCCAATTAAAACACAAAACTCAAACAAAAAGCATCGGCATACGAAATTTTTTGCTAATTATGTGACCGACCCGTTTTACCGCTTTAACATCCATTATTTCCAGGAGGTACAATCGAATTAAAAAAAGGGGTCATTTGTGTCTCACTTGTACGAGTATGTCTAAGGACCTGGTGGGTCGCAAATAATGTCCATTGATGTTTAACCCCAAAAAAAAATAATTTGTTTTCTTCTTCCTTCGCTTTATTATTTTATTTATTTTCTGTGATTATGAAATGTGTTTGATAAAACAAAACGCTTTAAGTTGTACACAAAGTGGACATAATAAGAAGCATAATTAGTTCGAAAAAGTTTCATAACACAGCACTACCCGAGTTTTTAAAAGTTTTAGTAGCTTACAAAAATGAATTTAGAAAGGAATTAATCCTAATACTCGTTTTTTATGCAAGACAGAAAATTAAATATAATAATAATAATCCAATATGTGTATATATAAGTGTTGATTGTACTGATTTCTTCATGGGTAAATAAATATTGTAGAGCTACGGTACTTTTTGGCAATGTGTCGACAGTACAATACAAATATGTATCTGCCTCTTTATTGGGAGCCAACTTTAATTCGTGTAACTCTTGTGTTAGGTTAAACATCGTTTAATATCGATATGTTCATAATAATTGTAATTTCTGTAGAATTTCCTACAACATTCATTGTATTATTTTATCTTACATTTCTGGATAAACAAGACACACTTTCATGAAAACTTTCGCATTTCCAAAGCTTACTTTTGCATTACGTTGAAGGCAAGCTTGTTAACCTTGAACAACCGCTATTTGCCATTGCATACTTGCAGGCGCACGTAATACAAAACAATGCAAAATTACAAAATTCCAACTTAATACGTAGTATGTATGCATGTATATGTAAAAGGAGAAGAAGAGAGTTTGGCTTTAATGCAGTGTTCATTTCCAATGGACGCTGGGACACATGGGACACGTGGGGCAATGAGCTAAATCAGCTTATGCAAGCCAGAGGACACGCTTAAGGAACAAGCTCAGGGTGTAACGACGACGACAGCGATAACAGTGTAGTAACAGAGACGCTGTAGCAAGAACATAAACAACAATTCTGAGGGCAACACACACACACACACACACATTGCTCGACTGCCATACAAAGGAGCAGGCAGTCCTGTCATGGTGAGGCTGCCGGGGATGCCATTTATGTCATCATCAGACATGTCCTTGCTGTCATTCCATTTGCCCTGATCTGGCATTAATAGCTGCTGCAATTCATTAAGAATTTCCTGTCCCAATCGCTTGTCGCTTCCCGTTTGCTATCATGGCTTAAGCGACTACAACGAGCCAATCAAAATCGGGAGCCATGTACGACCTTGCACCAATACTTGCAACCACCTAGCAGGCACTTACAACCTGAATGTGTGCAACACTGCATTCGTCAATAGTCCAGTTTGGGGCGTGTATTGAACAAAGGGTCAGCTCTGGGACATCTGCGGCAACTGCTTCTGTGAAAACCAGAAGGAATTGTTGCCGCCATTGGAATTGTTGTTTGCCGCACCTTATTACCAATTCGGAGCATCCAGCATCGGCATTGATCAGTGGCGTTACAGAAACTCGTCTGATCATAAAATAAATTTCTTGTGTGCTCAAGAATTTGTAAATTAAAGCACATTTTATGAGAGCACGACACCCAAATGTTTTTGCTGATGGTCAGGCTAAAGGCGACCTCATAAAATTGCGCCGTTAAGCCGGTAGTTTTATGAGGCGAGTGCTGATGAAGGAGCACGTGCAGTGCCTATTGGACAGGTAGACGGACATTTGACGGGCGGACGGGCCGACAGGCCACGCAAATGAGGCACACCCGGTGTATTCGGAAATAAATACCAAAAGCAGCGACCGATGCAGGCACAGACGTTCCACAACAGTCAGAAAGCAAACATAGAAGAAACAACAAGCATTACATAAAATCGAATTCTTAGTTGCTTTAAACTAATCTAATGTAAAAACGGCAATATCGCTGATTCGATTCTGGTTTTTTGGAAGGAGAAGGCTACTTTGCAGACCTCGCGAAAATATATTTTTCAGGCGGGTTAAAGAAGTTTGAGAATCGCCGGGGTAGGTGCATCGAGTTAAAAGAATACTAGAAGTAAATTGCCGCTTTTCCAAAATGTTCATTTTTCTTTTGTAGGTGAACTACTCATCGGACCTACCTCAGTTCTCAGAATGTTTGAAGAAGCCATCAGGCCGTTCCACCACAACAAAATGTAAATAGTTTTTACGTATTTAAAGAAAATTGAATCTTACACAATTAAGGGTCCGTCTAAAGTCAGCAATGTTGGATCATAGATATTGAAATAATAATGAAATAATAAGAATGTTTCCACTTCATATTAATACAACTATTTGGCTATGATTTTATTAATTGTTGCTATGGCAGATGTAAAAATCAAAAGTCTTATTAAACAGCTGCCAGTGAAGCGATAATTATTAAGAAGTCTTTATGCATTTATTGAAAGCAGATTAGATTTTAGCGAAGTACACTAGCAAGGGTATAATTTCTTCGGTACGCCAAAGCTGACCTAATTGTCCGCGTTCTCACTCTTGATCTGTTTGGTCTGCTTAATGGACATAAGAAGCTTAGCTGTCGTTTGTCATCTGACTAATCAATTAACGTTTAAGTTCGCTCTCAAGCAGTCAATCGAGCATTTGCTATTAGCTCGTTATATCTTAAACGTTCCGCTTTCCTGCACTCACATTTGTATTAATTAACAACGCCGGCACTGACGATGACCGAATGCGCAAATATTTCAAATGACCATTGAATTACTTGCGTTATGAGCACTTTGCCTGGCACTGCCACATAAATCTTGGCCACGCCAGACAGTTCATGTTGTCGCTGTCGCTGTCGTGGTTGCCGTTGTAGTTGCCTCGTCGCCGACGTGCATCGTTTTGATGAATGGCGAGCATTTCTTATTCAACCACCGACCCCCCCGTGTGGCACATCTTGCGAAATATTGCATTTCGTAGTTGTATAGCAGCTGGCCTGCTGCGACATATTCGGCCAAATCCCATCAACACCACATCAATACGAAGCCTTGACATGCTGCGAGCCGAGCAAGAAAATTAGCTGATTGAAAATATGAGAATGAGCCCAAATGGGTGCGAGTGTCTTGCCAGACGGCAAACGAATGCATCTGAATCGAATTGAGTGCAAGGCTGTCGACAACGTCGCCATTCCCATTCCCATCGCCGTCATCGCCATCATCGCCATCTTCATCGTTGCCTTTAATGCTCGGCTCATTTTCATTTTTTGTTGCATTTTGTCGTCTCAGCTATGTTGCATTTAGCTAATTGTCGTTGTTGTTGTTGTAGTTGTAGTTGTTTTAGCCATTGCTGCACTCATTAGTTGGCAGCGGCCCATTGAGGCAAGTCGTCGCCATCGCCCCGGCCGCTGACCGCGTGCCATTCATTGGGGGACAAACAAAAAATGTATTTTAGTTTATTGGCCTGCAATAATTTTGCCAAGAACTGAGCACACACACACATACACACGAGTATATCACACACATGTACACATGTGCATGTATAAGTATTTGTATGCATTTGGGGCCAGCTTAAGTGACAGCAACCACTAGCCAGTCATTAGGGCCCATTCAGAAATCACACACGACGCGCCGCAAGTCGCGACGCATATGACAGCCTAGAGGCCACAACAAATATCAAATCGATATGCGTAGCTTAATCAGGCAATGGCAAAATTGCTTGAACAAAGTCAACAATTCAATGAGCCGTAAATCCCATTTCCCATGCAACGAAATGTAGCTGCCCGTACTCTTGGGATACCAGAGGAAACCGTCCACTATGATCTAATATAAGTGTACTTAGTGCAAGACGCTTCCATCCTTTTTCCTTTCTGACAGTTCAATTATTTTAAAAGTCTAACATTTATTTTCTTTACGTAGATGCGAATCACTGGTTCTCATAAGACTTAGCAATTCTGAAGTTATCAATCATGGCTAAGCTTATGAGTATGGATACAAAATATATTTATTTTCGCTTATGGTCGGACTTAAAATTTGTGTAGAAGAATCTGTGGTCCTGGCATAGTGGAAGTAGTTTTTGAGAATCGTGTGCTTATGTAGTGTTTCGGCTCGTCATATTTATCAATATTTATATCCTTCATGTGGTTTTTTAGGCTTTCTTATACCAACAAATCTCTTATAATTAAAAGTTCTGATTCCTCCATGAAGCTCATTACAATAAAGATAGGCGTACTGTTTACTATTTACTTTGATTAACAACATTTTTTATGTGTTTTGCCTATTTTCCCAATACACAGCTTATAAATTTAGTACAGATCTGTTGCTGCCATTTAGGAAACATATAATAATATTAATTACTTGAATTACTATTTGCTTAAATTTATATTCATGTGTTTTCTATTATTTATTTTCAGTAATTATTTTAGCTCAATTTTCTTTAGATACAGGCTACCCAAATTAATCATGTTTATACTTGTAGTATGGACGGTTAATATTTAATTACACTTAAGTGTTTATACAAAAACAAAGAAAATTAAATGCAGGTATAATTTAAAATGTTTGCAAATAAATAAAACCGGAAGCGAGTGTCGCGATAATTTCTGAGATCACGATTATGATCTTATTAAGATCATTTTAAACAAATTATCTTGGCTTCGATTTATTGTACTTATTAATGAATATTAATATTGAACTTACTGAAGTTTAAAGTTAATTAGAAATTATACAATGTTTGTTCAACATCTCCTGTATTATAACAGCTAACAAAATTAATATTAATGAATTAATTTCAAAACTGAGAAGTTTTCAGAGAAGACACATGGGCAAAATATTTATAATACCTGCTAATGCGCAAGGCAGAATGGAATTTGTAATATTCAGTAAGCATTAAGTAATATATTAGGGCAAAGATGGCTTGAGCAAAAGTGAGCAAAAAGGCGATAGTTACCCGTTATTGATAACAATGGCTAACTATTTCCCCTTAACATATGATTTGATCATAATTGAAATATCTGTTATAAAAAATTGATGGCCACATAAATGTTGCATGTAAAATTAAAGTAAGTACCAAAGCGACTGTCGCGCTCCCACACAGAAAAAAAAACCTCAAATAAATACATATTGTATACTTGTATAATGCAACGATATATAGACAATGACAACCTAGAGAGCCACTGTGACAAAATTAGCATGCAACATTTGGCTTGGTCACGCGTGACGTGCAACGCGGCGTATGAGTTATGTGCCATCGCACTAATAACAGAAATGAGGAATAGCAACAACAGCAACAAAAACAATAGTAACAACAACAACAACTGACTCGTAAAATATCGCTTGCTTATCTGTCGTCAAATGTATGTGTATTGTGCATGTCTGTGTGACTTCTATGCCGAGGTCGAGGCACTGCAGCACGCGTGTAAACTAAAGCCGAGACAAATCTCTTTGGATTGCCAAGTAGACAAGCAAGACAAACAGCTAGTGTGGCGGTGTGTGGGTATAAATGTGTATATATGTGTGTATGTGTGTGTGTGTGTGTGCCGCATACTTTTCAATTTAGGCAACGGAAACTTGGGGTCAGGTGTTTGGTGGAGCATAAATCACAGCATCATTTTGTCGCACTCGGTGTGAAGGACAGTAGGGGAGGAAGGCGAGCATAAGGATAAAGAAAACAATGTTGCTCGGCTCGACTGCGACTCCAACACCAACACCAACTAATGGCAATTTAGCGGCTTAAGCAAGTGATTGCATACGTGTGGCACCGCCGCATGTGCAAATCAGATAAATTTGTCACTTTATGTCATTCGGCACATTTTCCGCATATTAATTTTGGTCGGAAGGGAGAGTTGAATGGAAATGGAGATAGGGATGGAGATGGAGATGGAGATGGCGCCCCATTACCTTCAATTACAAATTATTTATGTTTATCTTTTAAGTGTTGTTTGAGTTTCCAAAAAAAAAAACATTCGAGTTTACATTACACTTCACTCCAGATAGATGGTGGAAGATGTGAGCCTCATGATTATACATTTGTAAATATCTAGAGACTATACGAGGATAATGGAACATATAGTAAGTATTAAAGACAAACGGAGCAAATCTATGTAGTACTTTTTTCGGGATCGTCATTGCTTCCCACATTGATCCCGCATTGTGTTCACCACTGGCTCCACAGAATTGAGACTATGATGGGCTCACTATTCGGCCAGAAAAAGGCGCACTCGCTAAGTGCAAATCATTTGTGAAACATCCTGTACTCATAAACCATACACCGCTTTGTTAAATACTCTTATACTCTTCTTAAGATAATCCCAACTGGATAAATATCAAATATACGAGTATTATATGGGACAAGTTAAGTTTAAGGCAGAAGGGCTCACTATTCGCCCTGAAAAAAGGCACACTCATTAAAAACAAATCATTTCTGTATGTTATAAAGAAGTGAACTATCCTGTACTCATAAACCATACACCGCTTTGTTAAATACTCTTATACTCTTCTTAGGATAACCCCATTTGGATAACTATCAAATTTATTATGTGGGCGAAGTTAAACAGAAGTTAAGTTTAATTTCTCATATAAAAAAATGTTGGCAAATATTTCATGTTGATTTAAACTTCGAAAAATGCCATTCTCTTTCTACTTCGATTTGCAACAATATTTGTGCTGTTGCTATATCAATACATAGAGTATATTAAAGCTGCTGCAATTCAGATTGAGTTTTCATTTCCCGTAAGGTTCTTTTACTTTTTATTTGACGCGTGAAAAACGCTCTTTCGTACTTGTTATAAAATATTAGCTTTGGAACTCAATTTAAAACACTTATTATGGGTCTTTGGTTGTGGCGCTGCCTCAAATCTAAATTCCATCAAAAGATGATCACACAAATCTAATCTGGAAATGCTGTGAGCAGACACACATACACAGATTGCTACGGGTGGGCACAGTAGCCAGTTGGCGCCCGAAGCTGTTTTCACGCCACTTGACATCTCTCACGCACACACACACACACACACACGCACACACACACATACAGTTAAAGACACACGACTACACGCACTCGAGTATACAGAGGCACACAGCCTCTAAGTTGAGGGCCCAGCATCATGAACATATTCTTTTATTTCTAGGAAATTTGATTTTGCGTTATTTATTTAAATTTATTTTCACTTTATCTGCAATTTTGCTTTTTGCAACATCAACGATGTCAACGAAGAAGTTGGCGGTGATGGAAGTGACGGCGACGGCTACGGCGATGGCGGCGGCGGCGGCGGCGGCGGCGGCGTCATCTTTTCCCCTGGCATCCTCAGCTGGCATTGTCGAATGCTTTTTATTTCCCTTTGTCGCTTCCGCCACTGTACCCTTCGCAGCTCTG